ATGTGATCAGGCAAGGGTCCTCTCTTAAACACTATGTGCTTAATTGTCCATTATTGGGGAAAACAGAGACGACATATAAAAATATGTGACTGTCAAGATATCTTATTAATGAAAATAAGATACCAATATACAAGCAAATTTCCAAAATTTGCTTGAAACGATAAGTGAATATGATTGAGAAAAAAACATTGTATTCCTGTTAACCCTTTGGGGCCTTTCCTGGGCCTTTTGTGATCCACATCCTCGCGCAAAACCGTCCACAGTGGAATGGGGTGCACAATAAACTAGCCACTTCGGGGGAAAAATTAAATATTTTAAAAATTTGTCGGCCGAATGTAAGAATTTTGCATTTTGGCTTAAACGCAACTTCATCTTGCCTATGAACAGTGAAAATTTGTGTATGCAATACTTTCCCCAAAATTTCTAAACCTAACGAAAAAAAATATTTCACTGTGTTTGTTTAGTATTAAATATTTAAACAAATCAAAAATATATTTATTTGGGGTTAGGTAAAATAAAATTGTTCTTGTTATAAAAGGTTGGTAATTTTTTTTAAGATTCTTTTGGAGAAAAATTTAAATTTTTTTTTACATTAACATTAATAAAAAAATTTAATATCTTTAAACTAAAGAGAAAATTTAGGAAGGACTTAATTTTTAAATATTCTTGCTAATTGACCAGTTTTACCATTTTGGGCAGCATATTTATATATAAATATATATTATATATAATATATAATATATATATATATTATTATATATATTATATTTTTATATAATATAATATATGAAAAAACCAACCAGGGGAAAGAATAGAGAATTCCAAGCGCTTTCGTGACTACTCACATTATCAAGAACAAATAAAAGAAATGCTAAAAAGGAAGACATTAAAGGGTCTAGACCACCCACTATCACTTCCCACAAAAAAAGGCAACACTTAAATGCGACTCTAAGAAGGGAACACTGCGCAGGCCCCCTGGGCCCCAAATAGACAGGTCCTTCACCAACCCCCGAACTATTCTACCCCAAAAATTAAGAATTTTAAATTTATTATTTTTCCAATGATTATTAAAAATTTTTCCCAAATTCAATTAAATTTTAAAAAAGGACCCCAATTTATATAAACCAAAGGAAATATTCTATTATTTTCAAAAATGCTTTTTTGAAACAAGATTTAATTAAATTTTGTCATCCTGGACTTGCTGTAAAATTTCTCAATTTTTGAAAATCAATGAATGGTTAAAATCTCTCCATGAAAAAATAGAGCATTGGAAACTTTTTCCAGTTCTAATGTTATTTTTTGTTGTTTTAATCTTAGTTGGAGACTTTTTAACCAGTTTCCCCTAAAAACTTTATCGCAAATTTTTTAAGGAAACTTATAGACACCCTCACATTTTAGGGGAATTCTTTACAAATTTTTTTTTTTCTGTTCAAGATTTTTAAATACATACACCGTCAAGGAAGACGGTGTAACTCATCCTTTCTCTACTGCTTTATTTCTGTCCATGTTACGAAACTCTGGGGAATATCAGATACAATATTTGCCATCTCCGAACCTCTGCTAATTGTCTTTAATACATGCATTACTTTCTAGGTGTTCTCTTTCTTATATGTTTCTTTTTATTATATTTTCTAGTACCTAAGCCAGCCTTTGTCGCAGTTGCCTTATCTGGTCTCTTACTATCAACTTCCATCAGATGTGGCTGCATATCAGCTTAGGCTCAGTTTTATCCATTGCTGCTATGTCAATTTTTAACTGCCATTCCGCTTACCGTCTTATCCTTGCATAGTCATTCCTAGCTCTTCGCCACACATCTTTGTTTTCTACCATCCTCCCTTTTCCTTGTATATATTTTCCATTCCCATTTATTGTTAGTCTTGCTAGATCATCTTATCCACGTGAACTTTCTCATCATTGTTTCAATCAATTTACATCTAAACGTTCATAATCATTTGTGCGATTCCCAGTTCCCCGAAGCAATTTCATGATTAAATATTTTTATAATCAACAGCTTTTGCCTTCATTCATTTTGAGCTGCTTTCTTTAGGATCTCTAGCATTGCAGTGTTTTTCTCTTCATACTTCTCTCTTGGTTCTCTTGCATTCTATATAGGATTGTAAGCTACTGCTTTTATTGCCTTACTTTCTCCTGTTTCCATTGTCCCTGTTATGGTCTGTTAAATCTTCTCGTTAAAAATTCATATCTCTAAATCGTAGCTCAACACTTACCTTCTGTTTCTTCAGGAAATATTGCATTTATTTTCATTAGCTTCATCTCATCTATGGCTATTATATCTAGTCTTGTTATTCCCATCGTCATGTCACGGTTCTTGTTTGCAATGCGGACTGTATGTATACCAGACCATTGGTATTTCATTTATCACTTCTTAATGCATCTGATATCTACTTGATGTCTCTGCGGATGGGAAGTCTGTCCAGGTTTGGGGAGGTCTGGAAGCATTCCGGGGAAATGTTCTTAAATGACTTGATGTGGTGGGTTCTCTTATCTCATATTTGGTCTAGTAGATGGTGTTAGAGGATGTGAGCAATGGAGGTAAGTTGGTGGGGAGTGAAGGAAAAGGGATATCTTAGATGTGTTTCGGGATGTTTTAGACAGCAGGGAGGGGAGTGATTTTTGGGAGTTTGTGTTTAGCGCTTGTTTATGAAAAACAAATTATTTGGAAACGTGGTTACATAAACAGGAACATCTGAATGGATTAGGTTAACCTTAAATTTATAAGAAGGTAGTGAATTAGTGTCATCGTGCTATCGCCATAACCTGGTGAAGGAGTGAATGGCTTGTGGCCAGCTTGTACACGAATGTAAATTGAAATGCTATAAATATATGTACTGTACTAACTGGATGTGGGGGGCTGTTTACATACTATACTAGTCAACTTTTTTTTATATTTGATGAGCACATCTGTTGCCTATTGAAGTGCTATTTTATATTTTTACTAATATAAGAACATAAGAACATAAGAAAGGAGGAACACTGCAGGAGGCCTGTTGGCCCATACTAGGCAGGTCCTTTACAATTCATCCCACTAACAAAACATTTGCCCAACCCAATTTTCAATGCCACCCAAGAAATAAGCTCTGATGTGAAAGTCCCACTCAAATCCAACCCGTCCCACTCATGTACTTATCCAACCTAAATTTGAAACTACCCAAAGTCCCAGCCTCAATAACCCAACTAGGTAGACTGTTCCATTCATCAACTACCCTATTTCCAAACCAATTAAGATTTGGCAACCCTCTTCTCTTTTTACAGAAAGGTATGGCAGATTACAGTAATATACATGACTCCTGCGATTTGGAGATCTCTGAATGTCCAGAGGCGCACCTTGAGACCACACAGGACTTAGAGCTGCTAGCTCAGGAGATAGCAGAAGCTGCCGTAGAGGAGAGAAGATCCTCCAACACTCCCTCTCCAACCCCAACACAACTGTCGCCAACACAGCCAGAATGTGAAGAAGTAGAGGACAAGACCAAGGACGAAGAGGACCAAAGACTACAAGGTGGTGCCAGGGACAAGTCTGATTTGGATGAAGAGAAAGGCGAGAGATCCAGATCAGAGAGTCCGGTCGATGAGGCATCTTGGGTACTTGTAAGCGGCGAGGTTGAAATTGATAACGGCAGACTAAACGAAGAAGCCCGTCAAAGAAAACCCCCAGAATGTAAATGTAGCATTTTTAGGAAGTTCTTGGCTCGAGGAGACTTGCGCCAGAAGCTTGCAGACATCGGCCTGACGTGCGACACTCAAAGTGAGCATGATGTAGACAGCCTTCATCACCAAGATGTGTTCAGTGTGCAAGATATAGTTGTGTCGTGCTCTGAGTCTATGGTCATCTGCAACATGCCTCAGCCCCAGGTGTGTGCCCAAGTATAACCTGTTCCCGCTGATTACTTTTAACACACAAATTGTATACTTGTTTTACCTGTTTCACATTATCATAAACAGTCAAAGCTGTAAAGCCGAAAAGGTCTACAGTGGTGCAGGGAGGGATGTGTGAAAGGAATATGCCAAAGTTAGGCGTGCGTGAGGGATGTGGATGTGCGAGGGTAGGGATTAGTGGATTTAGGGGAGAGTACAAGACTAAATTTAAATCAAAGTTGGCGCAATAGGTTAGTGTCTGTTAAAATGTGGGAGAGAGAGAGAGAGAGAGAGAGAGAGAGAGAGAGAGAGAGAATGTGCGTCAAGGGTGGGACTTAGAGTGAGGTCAGCTTTTTCACTGTATTTGAGATTGTCTCATATATCGTGTAAATGTATAAAATCAAGCCTATGGATCTTAACGTGATAGTGATTTAGAAGCAGAAAATAACAGTATCAGAAATATTTTGTAAAATAAATATACTCACAATTTTTGTGCATAAATTTATTTTTTTGTATGACTTTGTGACAAAGAATGAAGTAAAGAACGTAATATGATATATATATATATATGTCGTGCCGAATAGGCAGAACTTGCTATCTTGGCTTAAATAGCAACGCTCATCTTGCCATATAAGACAAGCGAAAATTTGTGTATGCAATAATTTCGCCAAAATCATTCTGAACCTAACGAAAAAAATATATTTCACTGAGTTTGTTTAGTATTAAATTATTGTAAGCAAATCTAAAATATATTTAGTTGGGTTAGGCTAAAATAAATTGTTCTTGTTATAATAAGGTTAGGTAAGTTTTCTAAGATTCTTTTGTAGCAAAATTATAAATTTTTACATTAACATTAATGAAAAAAATATATCTTTAAACGTATAAGAGAAAATTTTAGAAAGGACTTAATTTTAAATGAGTTCTTGCTAATTGACCAGTTTTACATATTCGGCACGACATATATATATATATAATATATATATATATATATATATATATATAATATATATATATATATATATATATATATATATATTATACAATTTGAAAAATAATGTTGCATAAAAGGCAAGCATACTTTTTCGAAATGTATGCAATCTGAGAAAAAATATTCACTCGAATGCTGCAATTTTGAATTATGTCGTGTCATTATTTATTGTTGCAGGTTGTTGAGGAAGACGAGGAGGAGGAGGAGGAACATAAGCCCCAGGTGTTCCTTAAGGACCTGCCAGACTGTCCCAAGCTGGGGGGCTGGAGCGGCACTTTCTCCGGCGCTCAGGTGAGTACCACGCACTCTGTAGGTGAAGTAGCTGCAGGGAGGCCTTTACTCTAGCAACTAGGAGGGATTGAGAGAGAGAGAGAGAGAGATGAGGTTTAAGCTAGATGAAGAGTAAGAGCTGATGGTTAGGAACTAGTATGTTCCTGGCAAATTTATAAATTTTTATTTGTACAACGAGGCTAGGGTAACTGGAAAGTTGCTTTCCTGTACTTCCTTGTACACAGCTTGATTTTTGTATTTTCTTTTTTTTTTTTTAGAAAAATGGTTATAACTATAACCATAATTTTTAAAGGGGTGGACCGGTAAGCCAGCGGAAGGCCTCGGTCAGATGACCTAAAGCTCCAACGGCGGGTCATCTAAGACCCGCGTCAGGAAACACTTGTCCTGTTTCCTGACGGATCTTACTTACGTAACCTGGTATTTTTTCTTTTAATAAGAACACCATGATAGAGTACTGCGTACTTTGTTCCAAAGCTCGTAGCTTCGAGTCTCCTCTGGCCTAAGATAAGATGTCTGTAAATATTTAGCTTGTTCTGCGAAGTCTAAGTGTGTGTACTCACCTAGTTGTATTCGCGTAGTTTTGGTTGCAGGGATCGATTCACAGCTCCTGGCCCCTCCTCTTCACTGGCCGCTACTAGGTACTCTTCCTGCTCCATGAGCTGTATCATACCTCTCTTAAAGCTATATATGGATCCTGCCTCCACTACATCACTTCCCAGAATATTCCACTTCCTACAACTCTGTGACTGAAGAAATACTTCCTAACATCTCTGTGGTTCATCTGAATCTTCAGCTTCCAACTGTAACCCCTTGTTGCTGTGTCCCATCTCTGGAACAATCTATCTCTGCCCACCTTGTCGATTTCTCAGTATTTTAATGTCGTTATCCTATCCTCTCTATCTCTCCTGTCCTGCAGTGTCGTCAGGTCGATTATCCTTAACCTCTCCTCATAGGACATTTCTCTTAGCTCCGGGACTAGTCTTCTTGCAAACCTTTACACTTTCTCTAATTTCCTGACGTGCTTGGCTAGGTGTGGGTTGAAAACTGGTGCTGCATACTCCAATATAGGCCTAACGTACACTGTGCACAGGATCATGAACGATTCCTTATTGAGATGTCGGAATGCTATTCTTAGGTTTGCTAAGCGCCCATATGCTGCAGCAGCTATTTGGTTGATGTGTGCCTCAGGAGATGTGCCTGGTGTTATACTCACCCCAAGATCCTTTTCCTTGAGTGAGGTTTGTAGTCTCTGGTCCCCTAGACTGTACTCCGTCTGTGGTCTTTTTTGCCATTCCCCAATCTTCATGACTTTGCACTTGGTGGGGTTGAACTCCAGTATCCAGTTTCTGGACTAGGCCTGCAGCCTGTCCAGATCCCATTGTAATTCTTCCAGGTCCTCGTCCGATTGAATTCTTGTGTGTGTGTGTGTGTGTGTGTGTGTGTGTGTGTGTGTGTGTGTGTGTGTGTGTGTGTGTGTGTGTGTGTGTGTGTGTGTGTGTGTACTCACCTAATTGTGGTTGCAGGGATCGAGACTCGGCTCCTGGCCCCGCCTCTTCACTGATCGCTACTAGGTCCTCTCTCTCTCTGCTTCCTGAGCTTTGTCATACCTCGTCTTAAAGCTATGTATAATTCCTGCCTCCACTACATCACTTGCTAGGCTATTTCACTTCCTGACGACTCTATGACTGAAGAAATACTTCCTAACATCCCTCTGACTCGTCTGATTCTTCAGCTTCCAATTGTGACCCCTTGTTTCTGTGTCCCATCTCTGGAACAACCTGTCTCTGTCCAGCTTATCTATTCCACGCAGTATTTTATATGTCGTTATCATGTCTCCCCTGACCCTCCTGTCCTCCAATGTCGTCAGTCCGATTTCTCTCAACCTTTCTTCGTAGGACATTCCCCTGAGCTCCGGAACTAGCCTTGTTGCAAACCTGTGTGTGTGTGTGTGTGTGTGTGTGTGTGTGTGTGTGTGTGTGTGTGTGTGTGTGTGTGTGTGTGTGTGTGTGTGTCGTGCCGAATAGGTCAAACTTGCTAATTTGGCTTAAATAGCAACGCTCTTCTTGCCGAATAAGGCGAGTGAATATTTGTGTATGCAATAATTTCGCAAAAATCATTCTGAATCTAACGAAAAATATTTATTTAATTGTGTTTGTTTATTATTAAATTATTGTAAAGTTATCTAAAATATATTTAGTTGGATTAAGCTAAATTAAATTGCGCTTGTTATAATAAGGTTAGGTAAGTTGTCTGGGGTTCTTTTGGTACAAAATTATTATTTTTTACACTAACATAAATGAAAAAAAATATATCTTTAAACGTATAAGAGAAAATTATAGAAACGACTTTAAATGAATTATTGCTGATTGATCAATTTTACCTATTCGGCACCACATTTATCTTTTCCATCATTCTTCCTCTCCTTTACCATGGCTCTGGTCATAGTTCTCTTCGGATTATTAATTAACTCTACGACGTTAACAGTCCGATGAAAGTATTCTTTCATCCCTCCACCATCCCCATCCCCACTCCAAGACACTATTATTTTTTTAAAGTATTACATTCCCCCCCCCCCCTTCCATCCCTGGAGGGATGGAAGGGGGGGGGGAGAAATTTGAAGCAGTCAGACTATTCAGAGAACTGAAGCAAAGGTCCACTTCCTTAGATCAAGAACCCTCACCATTCTTGTACCGTTATCCACCTCCAGCACCTACTTCCCACCCACATAACTACCTAGCTACACTTCTCCCATATGCCTTACAGCTCTTTAATTCGTCGTATACATGATGTCTGTGCTACTTTACCAGATTTCAAAAGTTAATTATCTCACCATGTACTGTCTTGGATCTCATTACAACATATAAAATTTAACGCTAGAAGCAAAGACTAAGATTTCAAGTGTTACGAAGAAAAACAGTCCTCTCTCACTCGGTCATGTGCCTAATATCACGACTTGATCGGTATTACTACACTGTGGCTTATTAAAAGCGAGACTGGAAGCACAGCAAGGGGAACTGAGAAAGCTTAAATGACAAATTAACTGGCTAACAGTGTAGCCTTAGGGGATGCTGTGATTTGTTCGAAACCACTGTAAAGAATCGGAAGAAGTCTTTAACGAAAGACTCATGGTGATAAGACTTTATGGGTGCCCCGTAGCTGGATTGCTAGCGCACTAAGCTCACACACTGAAGTCCGGGGTCAATCCCCTATACGGGTGGAAACATTAGGACGTGTTTCCTTAAGACATCTACTGTCCATGTTCACGTATCAATAAAATAGGCACCTGGGTGTTACTCGACTGGTGTGGGTCGCATCTTGGGACAAAGTTGACCTACTTTGCCCGAAATGCTCTGCATAACAAGCGACTTTCTATATAGTAGTATGTCACTGATGTCAAGCTAGGACTGTATCGAGACTCACGAAATCGTAATGACACGATTGCAAATAAACCATACCACGGGCGGGATTTGAACCCGCGGTCAGAGAGTCTCAAAACTCCAGACCGTCGCGTTAGCCACTGGACCAGCTAGCCACAATAAGATTCGTCCAACTAGGTATATTTCTACACCATAGGAAGGTTAGCATAGGCACCACTGTGACCACAAATGCAAGTTTTTACAGACGAATATCCAGCTAGCGTGGCCGTGACGAACTCTAGCTCAAGTCCCCTCAAAGCCGTCATGTTAACGGCTTTGAGGGGACTTGAGCTAGAGTTCGTCACGGCCACGCTAGCTGGAGATTCGTCTGTAAAAACTTGCATTTGTGGTCACAGTGGTGCCTATGCTAACCTTCCTATGGTGTAGAAATATACCTAGTTGGACGAATCTTATTGTGGCTAGCTGGTCCAGTGGCTAACGCGACGGTCTGGAGTTTTGGGACTCTGACCGCGGGTTCAAATCCCGCCCGTGGTATGGTTTTTTTAGGACTGTATCCCTTGCACATGTACTTGTAGAAATAAAGATTATTATTATTACTATTATTATTATTATTATTATTAATCTGTCATTACAAACAATATATCAGAATATTCATGGAAGTCTCGATGTTGACGGATCTAGTTCAACATCTGCTAGTCCTAACTCCACTGCTGTTATCAACCTTGAACATTAACATCAACACAACACAGATCCGAACCTTTGCCTGGAAAGAATTAACTCTGTTGCACTTGAGGTATGCTCAAGGCGCATTCCTTTAAGAAAAATGAAGAGAAGATGTAAACTAGAGAGAGACGCTCCCTATACAGGCGAAGGCAAAGAATCACAGAGCTGCTGAAACGGGCCAGCATATCTGAAATGCGAAGGAGGAACTGGTCAGAAAAACCGCAAATATCGAACTTTAGCTTAAGGAATCATACAGGACACAAGGAACTCAGGAAGAGTTAAAGCCATCAATGAAACTAAAAATATGTATGTATTTCTTTTCTTATACCAAATCTAAGGAAAAAAAACATCAAGTATTAGACCCCTGCTTAGACGTGATGGGACTTGCACAGATGACAGAAAAGAAATGAGTGAGATACTGAAGTCCCAATTTGACTCAGTGTTTAGTAACCCATTAACTGGACTAAGAGTCGAAAATTTGAACGATTTTATGACCAAGACTCAAAATTTGGTCAATCCAAAAATTTCTGATATTATCCTAAAACCACAAGACTTTGAAAAAACAATAGATGACATGCCCACGCCCTTTGCCCCAGGCCCAGACTTATGGAGCTCCGTGTTCATCAAGAACTGCAAGAAGCCCCTGTTACGTGCCTTCAACATTCTATGGAAAGGGAGCATGGATACAGGGGTCATCCCAAAATCACTAACGGCAACAAATATATTCCCCCCTCCACAAAGGTGGCAGTAAAGCAGTTGCAAAGAATTACAGACCGATAGCACTAACATCCCATATCATAAAAATCTTTTAAAGGGTTCTAAGAAACAAAATCGCCAACCACCTAGATACCCATCAATTACACAACCCAGGGCAACGTGGTTTCAAAGCAGGCCGCTCCTGCCTGTCCCAATTACTGAACCACTATGACAAGGTCTTAGATGCACTGTAGGACAAACAAAATGCAGATGTAGTATACATAGACTTTGCGAAAGCCTTCGACAAGTGCGACCATGGTGTAATAGCGCACAAAATGCGTGATAAAGAAATAACAGGAAAAGTTGGTAGATGGATCTATAACTTCCTAACAAATAGAACACAAAGAGTATTAGTAAACAGGGTAAAGTCTGAGGCGGCTACATTGAAAAGCTCGGTTCCACAAGGTACTGTACGTGCCCCCATCCTGTTCCTTATCCTCATATGTGACATAGAGATGTAAGCCACAGCACTGTGTCTTCCTTTGCGGATGACACCCGACTTTGCATGATGTCATCCATCGAAGACACTGAAAGACACCAAGAGCACATCAATCAAATCTTTAAATGGGCCGCGGAAAACAACATGAAGTTCAATGAAGAGAAATTTCTCTTACTCCGATATGGTAAACTCGAGGAAATTAAAACCGTATGGGAGTATGAAACTAATGTGAAAGACCTGGAAGTGATAATGTCAAAGGATCTCACTTTCAAAGATCACAACAATGTTTCTATCACATCTGCTAAGAAAATGACAGAATGGGTAATAAGAACCTTCAGAACTAGGGATGCCATACCCATAATGGTTCTCTTCAAATCGCTTGTTCTCTCTAGGCTGGGATATTGCTGTACACTAACGGCCCCTTTCAAGGCAGGAGAAATTGCAGACCTGGAGAATGTACAGAGAACTTTCACAGCACGCATAAATATGATAATGCACCTAAACTACTGGGAAAGATACACGATAATATACACTTGGAAAATCCTAGAGGGACTAGTCCCAAATATGCACATGAAAATCACTCCCTACGAAAGCAAAAGACAGGGCAGGAGATGCAACATCCCTCCACTGAAAAGCAGGGGCGCCACGAGTAGGCTAAGAGACAACACAATAATTTTGAGAGGTCCCAGACTGTTCAACTGCCTCCCAGCATTCATAAGTGGGATTACCAATAGGCCCCTGGCTGTCAAGAATGCACTGGACAGGCACCTAAAGTCAGTACCTGATCACCCGGGCTGTGGTTAGTACGTCGGTCTGCGTGCGGCTGCCAATAACAGCCTGGTTGATCAGACCCTGATCCACTAGGAGGCCTGATCACAGACCGGGCCGCGGGGGCGTTGATCCCCGAAACCATCTCCAGGTATCTCCTAGTCCGAACATCACTACTGTAATCGACCTTGAGCATCAACATCTACTAGTCCTGACACCACTGCTGCTATCAACCTTGAATTAAGAACACCTGAAGCGGCTGCAGTTACAAATCTTCTGACAGCCACAGAACCTGTAAAATTGTGAAGCCAAAGGATTTAAAAGTAGGGATCGATCTATGGAAAAGGTGGTGGACGAAAACAGAGTTGTCATCAAACTTCTCTGACATTCTTTAACTTAGGCACGAGCTCAACAGGGGTGAACTCTCCAAGGTTAACAGTGACTATGCTAAAAACACAACTCGACTGCCAAGTCAGAACTATTTTTTTATTTTAATCATGGGGAACGCTAAACCTGTAGGGGCCACGTAACGCCTTTGAAATAGAAGGCACTCAGGTTCGATCCAAGGAAGGGAACGATATATCAAGTTCTTTGGCCAAGGAACCCCTCGTTGGCATCGAGGTACCTCCTTGAGGGATGCCGAGGTACCTCCTTGGGGAAATCCACATCAGAATATAGCTGTTGTTGTGTAATACTGCTGAATCAGAAGCAGTGCTCAGTAGTAGTCATCAGGACATTATCTACCCAGGTACAAAGGCTGTGACAGGAAGGAGTCACACAACCAACTTTCGCCTGAGACTTCAGTTATTGGTAGCATAACACTTACATGAAGCACAGAGTGCAAAACAGATACGCTAATTGTACTTTCCTAATTCTGCGAGAAAATCTAATGACTGTTACGGACGAGGAAAGAGAGAATACAAGTGTCTGTTACGTTATCATTGTTCTTAGACGATAAAGGGGGACATGAGCGTGATTTTGCCCTGCGTTGAACCACTACTGGATATTCTTTCTGTAAAATTAGCATTTGGAACACAGTTGGTGGCCCTTGCAAGTCTCCAATGATACAAACTGGATAGGCAGATCCGGCTACTTTAAAGACAGTCTTCTACTAAACAGTGATGTATTCGAATCAGACTCGTAGGTTCAGATGCCACCTGCCCAGTATTCCTACACAGGCTCCACAGATGATTTTCTAACTTACATAGCACAACATGGCTACGCTACACTATTCTACCACCCATAAGACCAATCATCATAAGCCTCAACATAGTCAAGCAAACATGAAATACTAATATGTTAAAGTACAGTTTCCCAACGTAAGCCTCATTACTAATGTTAGTTAGCTCACATAATGTGTACAGTGTTCATCAACCTAATGTGGTTTTATAAGAGGAATACCTGAGGATGTGATTAGTAGGAATTCAAGCAAGTATTTCTGGCTACATCTCATGGCTGCTATGTGAGAGGTCACGAAGGTAGTGTTTAACTAGTTCACTGAATCTTACATGTCAGGCCTATCTATGATGTCATTCCTGATCAACTTGAAACTTCAATCTCTAGAAGAATTATTTGGCGCTTTTTGTGAATATAATGATAATCTTGGTAAAGTTTAAACCTTGATTGTCCACAGTGTATATATCTAGTGTGTAGTGTGTAAACATCATTGGCAGGACGCAGACCTATTTGACTTATAAACAACCTATATACCCTTTCTTCGGCATAGTTGAGCCCATATTATAATAGCAGGTAACTACAACCAGTATCTCAGTGGGGCGCTGAAAAACTCTTCACAGTTTCCAACCCGAAAAACTGAGACTTTTTTTTTCTTACCCGGCCGTAACTAACTAACCTGAACACGGTAATATGTAAATTGTAGGGTATGTCGACTTATCAAACCTAGCTAGTCTTCTGTCATTGCAATAAATCTGAGAAAATTAACCTTAAACAAACTGGCTGTAGAAACTGGTCAACCCTTGACTCAGAGCTTTCCCCCAAGAAACTCATCTTGTAACTCCAGCACAGTCTCTGAAAAATCTTCAGATCCAATTTAATTTCCGTAGCACTACCGCGAAGTACCTGCTACCAAATAAAAGATTTGGAGGAGATACAAAAGACATGATTTTACCTGTGACAGGAACTCCCGCAGATAACCTAATTTCTTGTGAAGTGGACAAAACGAAATCTATTATCAGGTTAGGTTAGGTAAGATTCGTCAGGAAACAGAACAAGTGTTTCCTGACGCGGGTCTAGTATTGCACCTCACTCTGAGCCTATATATACCCTCTGTGTCCATGTATTGTTTGTAATGGCTTGATAAAGCTCCTGGAGAGGGAAACGTTGCCACAATAAAATGTCACATTAGTTGCACTTGTGTCCTTTTACTTTACAGGAAAATCTGTTGGGTTGGAAAATGTCAGCCGGAGATTACTACGTGGTTTGCAAATCAGCTTGCAACACCACTTCCCTCTTTAACTCTACCTACTAGTATAAAGGGTCCTGACAAATTTATTTAAATTTATAAAATGAAGAGTCGGATGATGGTCAGCACTACAGATAAGAGCCATTTCTCCTAGTCACAGGTACACTTTTTAAGACAATACTATCATAAATGTGAAATGTACAAGGCCAGTGTTCTCAAGGTTCCCCACCTGGTCTAGTTTCGTGGACATTCGTAAGACAGTTATTATAGTTCATAACAAGCAACCATCAGCAGCCTCACTCTGGTAGCACTCTCAGGGACATTACACCATCGCATATCCATTCTCAGTCTGACTCACTATTTGAACATGATCTTACAAGAAATAATTGAGTCAACTGGTCAGTTAAAAACACTGGGTCACATAGCTCCAAATTCACCCTAAATTAAATTGCTTAATCCTGTTAAGATTAATGTTGCTTAATATAAAACAATGCAGCAATAAAATCCCTGACTAGAACCAAGGTTTAAAATGAGCTAAGATAACTGAGCTTGTAAACTATAAAGAAACTATAATAGTTAGTTTTAGAACTTTTTAATTAATAAAGAGGTAGAGGGAAGAAAGAGGGAAAGGAAGGGAGGGAAGAAAGAGGGAAAGGGAGGGAGGGAAGAAAGAGGGGAAGGGAGGGAGGGAAGAAAGAGGGAAAGGGAAGGAGGGCAAAAGGAGACAGCGAGGAGGTAAAAAGATCAAGCTAGTGTAATGTTTGTGTTTTAAAAGGTTATGTATTGCAGGTGATGGTGGAGGTGGAGCTGCAAGGAGGGTTGGTGGTGGCTGGTGTCACAGTGATGCACAGCGATCTGCTCTCTGCCCTCGTCTCTCTACAGCATCTTGTTACTTCTACAGGTACTTCATACGGCAACCATCTTTTATTGTCTGAACAGCCAGAGTAACATTCAGTGGGTTAGTAGTATCAGGCCCGACGTCAGCTTCCATCACGGTATTTTTGCTATATTTTACGATTAAAAACTACATAAATTATTTCTACTACACAAAATTATACGGGAGTCATTTTAGTATTCACAACTACACAAAATAGGTATTACTAAACATATTTTGTAAACTAATGTGTAAGTAAATAAGCAGCACAGATGTATAAATATATACATGTTTTTGTATGTGTACATTATAGCTATACAGTTATTTGTCGTATGTGTATACATTATACTGTGGCGGGGGAGGAACTGGGCTGTTCAGAGGTATAGGCTGTATAGTCCTTGTGGCTTAGCGCTTCTTTTTGATTATAATAATAATGTTCAGAGGTATGGAGACAGCCAGGCGAGGCTGGTTTAAAATAACCTGTTTTTACCCGACTTAATTCCCTGTCATTGTTGGGTAATCATAGCAGGATAAATATTCCCACTCGCTATGATCAGCTGGCAAATAGCTTCATTAGAATTTTAAACCCAGTGAAATTAGAGCAGGTGAATTAATCGCATCTCCCAAATGTCCTTTTAAACAGAGAATTCTAAACCTTATTTTGCTTTGAGTTAAAGCCCATTTTAACTCTGATGTTTTATTTTTCATTTTCAAGGCGATATAAGCCGTACGCGAACCTGCCTCAAGAGTTATACTCGCAGCCGTAGGTGTCTCAAAGCCCCTGTCCAATCAATTAAGGTTCGATATCGTCTCAAGTCCTGAGCAATTTGATATGGCAAACATAATTTTTTGCAGCAATTGACAGTCGCATCATCAACGTGGCGTCGGGAGCAGGAACCGGCAACCTGGGTGATGGAAATTAAAAACTTGTCCTTTTTTAAATTTCAAAATGTATATTTTAATATGGTGAGCAGTTCGTATGAGAGTTAAAGCAAGGAAATGACCGTAGTCACTTAAATAATAGCGGAAACTAGAGCAGAGCAGATAAATTAGTTATTGTGGTTTTTTCTGTTAGTAATTTTTCTACATAGCATTGTGTAGCTGCCCTGATTTACAACACACTTTCCAAGGTTAGAACATTTTATTTTATTAATATTTTTAGGCACCGCATAGCACAGATATTTTTTTTCTCGGTCAACACTGATTTCTTACTCTTTGCAACAAATTTTCCCATATACATTATTTTGGTTTTGGGTAAATTTGTATATGTTAGAGTCGTCTATTAGCACAAATTAACCAATTATACCACACCATAAAATCAATAAATGCAATATTACATAGATGCGATTGAAAAGATTTGAAGCGTAAACAGAAAACAGATCCACCGAGAGGAGAGCAAAATACACTGTCAAATAACGTTTTCATTTTATAATAATAATAATATCTTTATTTCTACAGGTACAAGTACATGGTATACAGTCCTAGCTGACATCAATAACATACTACTATATAGAAAGCCGCTTGTTATGCTGAGCATTTCGGGCAAATTAGGTCAGTGTCCCAGGATGCGACCCACACCAGTGGACTAACACCCAGGTACCTAGTGTACTTATGGGTGAACATAGACAACAGGTGTAAAGAAACACCCAATGTTTCTACCCTGGCTGGGAATCGAACCTAGACCCTCGCCATGTGAAGCGAGAGCTTTAGCCACCAGAGCCCCCTAACGTCGGACAGGAGGATGGGCTGACTCCTTACACAACTATTACTTGTACGATATATTGAAGCTTATTTCCTGAACATTGTGAATGACATAAAGCAAATCTCACAAGGATGGACAGAAGACGGGACGAACAACACTTGGGAGACAGAGACATAAATCCTGCATTAAACAGCATAAATATGATAGGACGCGACCATTGAGTGTATATTCAACACTATATGGTTAAAGTGAATTACTTGGATGGTTGGCGGGGTTTATAATGGGCTTAAAGCGTATCGATTACACGAGGATCACTCAGGTTACATGTCACCTGTTCACCACCAGTCAATAACATTTTAATCCCTAAAGGAGGTATTAAACTCTTAGCATATATACATAAAGATACACACCTCCCGGTGTAATGTATATTAAGTTATTATTTACCTCAGATACATGAAAATTGTGATAAATTTTACTATTAAGAGTACAGGTGAAGAATAAAGTAATAAAAGTTTATGGTAACCAATTAAATAAACATTTACAATTTATTTTTTTAGAAGTGTTTATGTTGATTTCAGCTGATATATACTGACTGTGTAAGTTCATACTCTAGGAATTACATATATTATTATTATTATTAAAATCAAGGGGGAAGCGCTAAACCCGGAGGATTATACAGCGCCTGGGGGGATGTGGGAGGCATTCAGGCTTAATTCGGGGAACTGGAGCACAGATCCAATTCCCTAAATCAAGAGCCCCTCACCAACATCAAGGAACCTGTCTAGGAATTACAGTATTCTTGATATTACTGTACAGGTGGAATGCATCCTTGTTGACCAGCGTGCAGTCTATAGGGTTTAACCTTTACAAACTAAAATAATGATGCAAACACTCACACAGTAATGGTGGTGGTGGCAGATCAAGGCATCACCACACATCGATGGTGGTGGTAGGTCGAGGCACCATATTGATGATGATGGAGGCGAGCCTAAGCATTACGCACTATGGTAAGTGGCGGTGGTGGCAGGCCGAGGCATCACTACACTGTGATGATGGTGGTGGCAAGCAGAGGCATTACCAGACATTGATGGTGATGGTGACATGCCTAGGTATTGTCACAATGATATCAGTGGTGATGGTGTCAAGGCCAGGCATCACTACAGTGACGGAATAAACGATCGCAATATACCACACTTGTCTCTCTCCAATAACATGACGTCTTTATACTTGCTAGAAATGCACCACAATCGTTATTATTGTATGCGAAGTACACTGGGATGTGGGGAGTCGAATTTCCAGATAGATTGTAACGCATTTTAGAAATCAGAAACAACAACGAATGAAGATACGGACACAGTTACAATGTTTGTGATTGTGGTCAGTTGTGGTGAATGGTTTGTTCTTCAACACTTGTCCAACCTTTGGACGAAGACCTACTTCGACTAGTGGATGGTACCACTATGACCCCACCTCCTCCTGCTTCACCTCACCTCACTACAGTATATAATCCACGTCTACGGCCCTATGCTGTACATTCTACAAGATTGATGGACTGAACACATCGGCTCCAGGCTGAGGGACTGATTGCCTCAAACTCCTCCTCTCCTTACGCCTTTCTACTTTGTATTGGACTGATGAAGCCACTGTGTGGCGAAACGTTTCCTGAATAAAGATTCCCATATGTTGCATAAGTGTCTCAATCATCAACATTGTGGTCAGTATTGTGTGTAACTGCTGTGAAAATAGTGGCCGACTTTAGTATATGCCCTTGGATTTCCTTATCTGAAAAAACAGCAGCATAACTTTCTCTATCTGGGGGTCTGAAACTGTTCACCAGTAGCGTGGGAATGTGACTGAGTGTTCAAGGAAAAGAGAGAGAGAGAGAGCCTGAGTTCATAGAAGACGTGAACCCTCATGTATCGAAGAGGGAAGAAACACTGAACCCTGGGAAATTCCCAAGGAGGGAGGTAAAAAGCTTTACACGAGGTTGACAAAGGGAGTAAATAGAGATGTTACCAGAATTCGAACGCAGGGATTATCTCGTGGTTGATAAAGACACAAAAGCAGCTATACCACGGGCGGAGTTAGAACCCGCGATCAACCTTACAACTGAATTTTATTGACATCTGTGACGATCGTGAAGGTCATGGAAGCAAACAAAATAACGAAGGCAGTGAGTGGGCTTTGCGCTGATCCTGCAAAGACTCTAAGCTAGGTTTAGGAAAGATAAAAAAAAAATCCCCTAGTTATAAACATAATAATGCTTGATGATGAATGGCCCTCATTAAGTTTAGTAGGAGTAGCTGAGGAATATATTTTGTTTTTGTAGTCTAGCTTAGAAAAGATCATTGAATGAAGTCAAAGAAGGGTTGATTTGTCTATCAATTCACCAAGAGAAATGGGCTAGAGTTTTAAGCAGGTTCGGCCGATTAAGATAAGTGGCTTTCAGGGAGGTGATGTGTGACTTCCATGACATTTGAGAACGGGAAAGCCAAACAATTTATTCGTATCTTGTACTGGAACAGGTATCATATAGATATAAAATAGGCTATAAGATGATAGGGCATCGTGCGAAAATTATCGTTTAGCACCACCCCTAAACATAATAATAATTATAGATTAGAAAAGACAGCAGTGACTAAATGAAAAAAAAAAAGATTGGCCACGAAGTTACATATCAAGGTCAAAGTAAGTGGCAGAATGGTCCCGTTCTAAACTATATTGATGAAGGGAAAGTGTTTCGAGTTTCTAAGTACCACACGAGTTGGTTGATAATCAAGCATTTTCAGCGCTGGTACGAGCATGGGTCTATAATGAGAAGTATCTATGTCCACAGTACATACTTAGCTTTTAAAAAGGGAGAAACACTGTTGTTTTCCACTAAAAGGGGTATAGCTCTTTTGGGCCAAATCCGAGTGAAAAGGTGTAAGAGGAAGAATGGTGCTGTAGGGTGTGTTGAAGCCCATGAACATGGATGTCATCAGGCCCAACTGCTATTGGTTGCCACTAACTAAGCATTGATTCAGATCTGAGGAGCGAGAATGGAACCTTGTAACGTTCTAGTTGGATGGATTCCCGCTCAATTAGGAAACTAATGAAGTGATACCCAATCGCTTTCGCAACAGTAAGAATGGAGTCAGAGGTCTAGTGACTACTTTCCTGCTAAGTTTAGTATTTTTTTTTTTCAGATTGACCACACTGAGGTAGCGGCATTTATAGTGCACAAATAAGCATACCAACAAGTGTATTTAAATTAGTTTAGCTATCAGGACGTGAATGCTCTCTCGCTTGTTTGTAACCTAGGAAACTAACATTACTGTGACGATAGCGGCTTCATACAACTGGTTGTTAATGAACTCAAGGAAGGTTCCTTGATGTTGGTGAGGGGCTCTTGATTTAGGGAATTGGATCTGTGCTCCAGTTCCCCGAATTAAGCCTGAATGCCTTCCACATCCCCCCCCCCCCAGGCGCTGTATAATCCTCCGGGTTTAGCGCTTCCCCCTTGATTATAATAATAATATATAATGTTAACCTGATGTCCAGGTAATGGCTAACATGTTACAGAGAAGAGTTGTAACAACTTGCCTGTAGAAAAGGTATCAGGAAGGATACCTGGGAAGAGGTTACATTGTGTAATGCTTGAAGCATCGATCTGCACACTTAGAATACAACTGGAAACCATACCCCCGGCCGGGATTGAACCCGCGGTCATAGAGTCTCAAAACTCCAGCCCGTCGCGCTAGCCACTAGACCAGCTAGCCACAATAAGATTCATCCAACTAGGTATATTTCTACACAATTAGATTCATCCAACTAGGTATATTTCTACACCATAGGAATATGGTGTAGAAATATACCTAGTTGGATGAATCTTATTGTGGCTAGCTGGTCTAGTGGCTAGCGCGACGGGCTGGAGTTTTGAGACTCTATGACCGCGGGTTCAATCCCGGCCGGGGGTATGGTTTATTTGCAATCGTGTCATTACGATTTCTTAAGTCAAGTCAATACAACTGGAATCTGCAAGGTAGTCGGGTGTCAGAACAGCAGTAATGATTAAGGGGAAATTATCACTGTCATGGAGCTAATATATTACTATTCAGTCGAACACTTTGGACGAGGAGCAGGGAATGATTTATATATAAGGGCCCTGGTAGGTTTAGCGCTTCCTTTTGATTATGATTATACATAAGAGAAAGTGTGGGTTCGAGGCTCTAGATGTGTTCGAATATCATTGTCCAAAGTATGAAAATAAGTTTATTTAAATACAGGTGGTATACATAAATACAGTTAAACGAATTATCATACATAGTAACACATGTATAGATTACCTACGATAACTCAAAAAATGTCTGATTTATTTCCATTGGGGTGAAAGCCAAGGGGACAAAGAAGGAACAACGAAGCATCAATGTGTCATTCTTTGAGGAAAATGCTTTTACAGGGTAATTATTTCATATTGGTTTAGCGCTTCCTTTTAATAATAATAATAATAATAATAATAATAATAATAATAATAATTTTATATTAAATCTTTGTGCAGGTTTAGTGTCCTACGCTGATATAGACGTTCCCAGCCTCCTGGCTCGTGCTGCATAACTTGACCTCCACTAACTACCTCCAAAGTCTTCTTTCTAAATAGTAAGTTCCAAGACCTTTATGAATTAAATTTTGTTTATTAATTTTGATCCATGCCTTTAAATTTACTCCCAATGTGAAGAGTGGCATTGTTTATAATGTTATATCCTGTGACAATGTGTAAAATAAATCACTATTTTGGGCTTAATTTACTCTCACCCATTTTTTACACTTACTTCGCTATTAGTTTCCACATATCTTTCAAAGTTTATTCTCTATAAGGATTACAATGCTGAGTTTACAGAATTTGGTTATTGTGTGGTTTACATGTAGTAAAATAATAATTACAGAGTGTACCACTAGAACACCTAGCATGGCTAGGCATTTCGGGCAGACTTACATTAAATCTTAAGTTTAAAATATTACAAAATTATGAGGTAAGTTGGTATTTTGGCTAAGTGACTAAATACTAGTTGTGAGTTTAGCAATGTGAATGCTTTTGTTTTGGCACTATACATAGTTTCAGTATTGGAGTATCACAGGCCAACTTATGACTAGTTAAGATTCATTATTTTGAGATTGAGATTGATATTTCTGTTTATGGTCAAATGGGTGAGTGAGTGTAAGTGTGAACCACCAGGTGGTATTCGTATTATTAGTTGACAGGGTGTATCAGGGAGATAAGATGTTTTCTGATGGTAGTTTTGAAGGTGATGAATGTGTGTGCAGTTTTAGAATTTTCGGGTAGGGTGTTCCAGATTTTAGGGCCAAAAAATCACATCACATTACATTACATCACATTACAATTGTGACCGGGTGTGGACGTATCAGTGGTTCATTACTTTGTAATTTGTTCATGACTGTAACCATGTATAGGAGTGAAGCTGATTCATTACCTCTGTAACTTGCCATGATTAGTGACCAGATCTACCTGGAGTTCATTACCTTTGTAACTAGTTCAGCTATCATAACTTTGGGGTCCAGTCACTGGACCCATTATGTACCTTTGTAATCTTTTGACTACCGCCCACAGGATGGGTATGGGGTGCATAAAGATATTAAACTAAACTGTGTGTGTGTATGTGTGTGTGTTGTGTGTGTGTGTGTGTGTGTGTGTGTGTGTGTGTGTGTGTGTGTGTGTGTGTGTGTGTGTGTGTGTGTGTGGTGTGTGTGACTCAACAATCAATATTTGCACCAATAACTCATTACAGTTGTGACCGGGTGTGGAAGTGTGAATTGCTCATTACTCTATAATTTGTTCATGATTGTAGCCAAAGTATAAACGTAAGTAACCATTCTACAGAATTCATTACCTTTGTAACTTGTGAGCTCATTACCTTTGTACCTAGTTCAGCTATCAAAACTTTGGGGGCCCAGTCCCTGGACCCATTACGTACCTCTGTAATCTGTAAATACCTTTGTAACTTGTCATGATTGTGACCAGACTTACCTGGAGTTCATTACCTTTGTAAATTGTGAGTTCATTACCTTTGTAAATTGTGAGTTCATTACCTTTGTAAATTGTGAGTTCATTACCTCTGTAACTTGCTCAGCTATCAAAACTTTGGAGTCCAGTCCCTGGACCAATTATGTACCTCTGTAATCTTTTGACTACCGCCCACAGGATGGGTATGGGGTGCATAATAAACATATTAAACTAACTAACTAACTAACCCGAAACTTAGAATACTAATGAATCTTACAGAATGGTAATGTATCTTAAAAAAAAAATTGCATTTGTTATCTTGTACACTGGCAAAAGCAACCAACATTGGTGATAAATATGGGAGTTTAACTAAAGGAAAGAGTATGAGGTTTAATTACACTATGACATAATCCTTTATCTAATATTTAATTAGATGTATTTCATTTGCTGTGCAGTCCATATTTCATAACCTATCTCTGTGCCTCAGTGCACATGATTTGAATAGTACAGATTGTGGCACAAGTCGATAAAGTTAAATAGCACTTTTTTTCAAATTTTCAAAATCCCCCCCCCAAAAAAAAAGCAAATTGGAGCCTACACAACCTATACAGATGTGACAGAGTGAACAGGCAAAAGGGGAGGGTTGGCCTGTACATTGCAGAGTCACTTGTTTGCACAGAACTGCTTAATGCCTCAAATGATGTAGTGGAAGTTTTAGCAGTAAAGGTCGAGAACCAAAACTTAGTCATTGTGGTAGTCTACAAGCCTCCGGATGCAACATCCCAGCAATTCCAGGAACAGCTGTTAAAAATTGACCACTGTCTGGAAAATCTTCCAGCTCCTGCACCCAACATCTTGCTCCTGGGGGATTTCAACTTAAGGCACCTAAAATGGAGGAACATAGCAAATAATATTGTTGCAGTAATAACACCAGGAGGCAGCTCTGATGAAAACTCACACTCACACGAGCTTTTAAATCTCTGCACAAAATTCAATTTAAACCAACAAATAATAGAGCCTACTAGACTGGAGAATACACTAGACCTCATCTTCACTAACAATGATGATCTGATAAGAAATGTCACCATATCAAAAACAATATACTCAGATCACAACATAATTGAGGTTCAGACATGTATGCGTGGAGCCCCAGACCGACATAATGAGACTAGTCACGAGGGAGCATTCACCAAATTCAACTTCAATAACAAAAACGAAGTGGGACCAAGTAAACCAAGTCCTAACCGATATAAGCTGGGAAGATATACCAAGCAACACAGACCCCAACTTATGCCTAGAACAGATTAACTTGGTGGCACTCGATGTATGCACAAGGCTTATTCCTCTAAGAAAAAGGAGGAGTAGATGTAAAATAGAAAGAGACAGGCGCTCCCTTTACAGGCGATAGAAAAGAATAACAGAGCGGCTAAAAGAGGTCAATATATCTGAAATGCGTAGGGAGACACTGGTCAGAGAAATAGCAAGCATCGAACTTAAGCTAAAGGAATCTTATAGGAGTCAGGAATCGCGGGAAGAACTAAAAGCCATAAATGAAATCGAAAGAAACCCAAAGTATTTCTTCTCCTATGCCAAATCAAAGTCGAGAACAACGTCCAGTATTGGGCCCCTACTTAAACAAGATGGGTCCTACACAGATGACAGCAAGGAAATGAGTGAGCTACTCAAGTCCCAATATGACTCAGTTTTTAGCAAGCCGCTAACCAGACTGAGAGTCGAAGATCAAAATGAATTTTTTATGAGAGAGCCTAGCCCTTGTGGCTTAGCGCTTCTTTTTGATTATAATAATAATAATAATAATATGAGAGAGCCACAAAATTTGATTAACACAAGCCTATCCGATGTTATCCTGACGCCAAATGACTTCGAACAGGCGATAAATGACATGCCCATGCACTCTGCCCCAGGGCCAGACTCATGGAACTCCGTGTTCATCAAGAACTGCAAGAAGCCCCTATCACGAGCCTTTTCTATCCTATGGAGAGGGAGCATGGACACGGGGGTCGTCCCACAATTACTAAAAACAACAGACATAGCCCCACTCCACAAAGGGGGCAGTAAAACAACAGCAAAGAACTACAGACCAATAGCACTAACATCCCATATCATAAAAATCTTTGAAAGGGTCCTAAGAAGCAAGATCACCACCCATCTAGAAACCCATCAGTTACACAACCCAGGGCAACATGGGTTTAGAACAGGTCGCTCCTGTCTGTCTCAACTATTGGATCACTATGACAAGGTCCTAAATGCACTAGAAGACAAAAAGAATGCAGATGTAATATATACAGACTTTGCAAAAGCCTTCGACAAGTGTGACCATGGCGTAATAGCGCACAAAATGCGTGCTAAAGGAATAACAGGAAAAGTCGGTCGATGGATCTATAATTTCCTCACTAACAGAACACAGAGAGTAGTCGTCAACAGAGTAAAGTCCGAGGCAGCTACGGTGAAAAGCTCTGTTCCACAAGGCACAGTACTCGCTCCCATCTTGTTCCTCATCCTCATATCCGACATAGACAAGGATGTCAGCCACAGCACCGTGTCTTCCTTTGCAGATGACACCCGAATCTGCATGACAGTGTCTTCCATTGCAGACACTGCAAGGCTCCAGGCGGACATCAACCAAATCTTTCAGTGGGCTGCAGAAAACAATATGAAGTTCAACGATGAGAAATTTCAATTACTCAGATATGGTAAACACGAGGAAATTGAATCTTCATCAGAGTACAAAACAAATTCTGGCCACAAAATAGAGCGAAACACCAACGTCAAAGACCTGGGAGTGATCATGTCGGAGGATCTCACCTTCAAGGACCATGACATTGTATCAATCGCATCTGCTAGAAAAATGACAGGATGGATAATGTGAACCTTCAAAACTAGGGAGGCCAAGCCCATGATGACACTCTTCAGGTCACTTGTTCTATCTAGGCTGGAATATTGCTGCACACTAACAGCACCTTTCAAGGCAGGTGAAATTGCTGACCTAGAAAATGTACAGAGAACCTTCATGGCGCGCATAACGGAGATAAAACACCTCAATTACTGGGAGCGCTTGAGGTTCCTAAAACTGTATTCCCTGGAATGCAGGTGGGAGAGATACATGATTATATACACCTGGAAAATCCTAGAGGGACTAGTACCGAACTTGCACACGAAAATCACTCACTACGAAAGCAAAAGACTTGGCAGACGATGCAACATCCCCCCAATGAAAAGCAGGGGTGTCACTAGCATGTTAAGAGACCATACAATAAGTGTCAGGGGCCCGAGACTGTTCAACTGCCTCCCAGCATACATAAGGGGGATTACCAACAGACCCCTGGCAGTCTTCAAGCTGGCACTGGACAAGCACCTAAAGTCGGTTCCTGACCAGCCGGGCTGTGGCTCGTACGTTGGTTTGCGTGCAGCCAGCAGCAACAGACCATACCCCCGGCCGGGATTGAACCTGCGGTCATAGAGTCTCAAAACTCAAGCCCGTCGCATTAGCAGCAACAGCCTGGTTGATCAGGCTCTGATCCACCAGGAGGCCTGGTCACAGACCGGGCCGCGGGGGCGTTGACCCCCGGAAAACTCTCCAGGTAAACTCCAGGTAAACAAAAGTCAGTTCAAACTTTTCTCTTTGTAGGACTGACCAGTTTTTAAGAATACTTTATGTAGCCTTAGTGTACATAACATTAAATTTTTAAATAATGGTCTTGAGGACATGTTATAGCCTGACATTTCCACTTACCTTCCCTTCTCTTTGCAAACATATCAGCAATTACAATTTTCCCACTGGTGGAAGTAGGTAGTACTGTTTTTTTCACCATTGGCTTTTGGGTGTCCTCTTACACACTAAAATATCTCCTCGTATGCTGGACATTATTGTACTGTAATTTATTTATTTTTAGTGGGTGTCATAATTTGTTTTTCTTAATGCATTATTTCCTTCCTGTGGAACAGCACATGCTTAAAGAGCTGTTCTACAGTACTATCTTCATTGTGCCTTTCACTCTTATCACCATTAAGGTACAGTATTTGCATGATACTCTTAAAGTTACTACAGCATTGTTTTAGAAAGAACTGTAAGATATATCGTAATTTCTAATACAATTTTTGTTTACAGTGTGCCTTAACCGAAAAAGCTTACCAGTACTTGAAGCATCCAACTTGTAAAATGGGTGCGAAGTTCAGGAACATCTTGGCAACCGATTTCCCTCAAGTTAGCAATTGAACTTCTGTTTTTATTATCAAATTTTTCTTAATCTTTTTAATGGATGTGTTTTCCATATACACTAGGTAACAGGTCCCTCATTGTTATCTGCCTCTTCCTTTTCTCTCTCGTGTTATATTTCTTTTCCTGTTGTCTCAGCAATAATTTCATTTTGCTGTATTTACAGACAATTTGATGATATTATAAAGATATTATTGGATAAAAAAGAAATTGCTCCTTTTTTTAAGATATGCATATACTGTAATATTAACATATTTTCTTTGTAATTAGCAGCACCCAGTATAGTACCAATATTTAAATGTATCAATGCAAAGCTGTATCAGCATTAAATTACAGCCATAATTAGTAAAGAAATTAGCCTTTATTACCACTAAGCAGTGCTTAATGACCCACTTGTGTTATGCATTTTTATGTATCTTACAATAATAATATCACTTTTACCAGATTTTCATGTTAGCCTTATGCATACTCATACACATATGCCTCTCTTATCATTAAAGATTATAGAGTCAGCACTGAAACTTGTTTTTTTATATTATGAAAGTTAATGTATGTTTATATCTAAATATTGAACCTTAAATAAAATGCAGTATCTATCAGAGTCAGATGAGAATGTGTTAATAATATTTGCTTGCTTAGATGCAGATGCCAAACTTCTGCTGTATACTCTGTGTGGCTTACTGTATGGTTTGACTAGCTATTTAAGCAATTCACCATCCTTATATTTCAAGGCCATTATGAAGCTTGGCTGTGTAGCAAATGAATCTCTCACTAATACACTTATGTGATCTTCTAGTGAGAATATTTTGTCATGGTCCATCCCTCCCATTAGTTTGGTTATTAGTTGAATTGATCCATCACAGACCCTTTATTCCAACTTGATACATATTGTACATACATTCATAAGGCCTATGCCAAATGCAAACTTATTTTGGCTATATTTTTTTTGGCTCAGAGAAAGCAGGTGATATCTTGTCCCAAGGTGTGGATGATTTTTGCCATGGCTTGTGCTACCACTGGCAGATAGATAGGTCACATCAAACTGCTTAAACTTGTGTCTCTAAGTGGGATCCAAATGGCAGAGCAAAACATTGACCCAATAAAGGCTCATTACACAAAGTGTCTTCATCAGTTGTCTCCAAAACAAGTTTAATAATTTTGTCGCAGTGCCCTGTTGTTTCCTAATCCTCACAAGACTCCTTTCAAGGATTGACTAAAAGAAAAAGAGCCATTAGAAAAGAATAAAAAAGTGTAGTAGGGCATTTACTGAGTTTTCAGTGGTCTTAAAAGACAAGCAGGTAGGCAACTCTCTTATTCCCAGGACACAATGGGAATGCTTTGTGAATACAATATGTATGATTTTTATTTCTTTATGCAGTACAAATAATGTAGTTTACATGTAATAAAACATTGATAGGCACAAAAGAAAGCCATTAGTAGGCAATGCATTTTGGGGAAACTAATCCTAATGTATAAATATTACTGAGATTTAGACAGATTATTAAGCAGAAATGGAGACAAGTTGCCCCACCCTATTGAGCAAGGCCTTTAACAGAGAGTTTTAAGGAGCTATGGAGTTATTTTTTGGGGTCATACTCTGTTGATAACAACACTAGGCAGTTAAGAGAGATGAATATGTCTGTAAAAAAATATATATATACAATACTGTACTGTATTTACCTGTGTATATATTGTATTTACCTCGGTTTTAGGTGTTAGAATTTTATTTTTTGTGACTAGAACTTTTAAATGTTGAACTTTTCATCAAAATATTTGTTTATACGATAAATCTAATTGTTCTGTCCTTAGCAGTGTATTATCTGATCAGTGAATTAACAGATAACATTTTCTTTTGTAAACTTGGTATGAGTTAGGTGGTGGTATTTTTTAATTCATCAGGAAAAAGGATAAGTATTTCTTGACATGGGTGTGTTGCTAGTATTTTTCAAACCCGTACTAAATTTTTCCCTTTTAATTTGTCAGGTCCTAACCTTTTTTTTTTACCTCATCCCTCATTATTATTTTTGCTCCTAGATAATTAGGTTCAAATATGAAGTTATCCAGCAGCACTATGCCTTTTGAACATTTGCAGATGGAGGGCTTATTGTATATATTATACAAGGGTAAATTAAAAAATAAAATTGATCAGAAAAATCAGATATGTTAGAGCATGGTGACAAGAGGCAAAAATATATCAAATAGAACTGGTTCAAGTACTATTTTCTTGGGAATAAGTATGCATGGTCAATGATTGAAAATTTAATTTTTGTTTTTTTCACAAGATTTGATTACTTGGATTTTTTTTTTTGGGGGGGGGGAGAGGGGAGGAGGAGGAGGGGGTAAGAAAGGTTACATAATCTTTATCATTAATGAAATGCTATGTTGAAATAAAATATAAAAAAATCCATTTTACATGGCATCTGATAAAATTACATTCCAGTCAATTAAGTGACTTGTGGCATGTTTCTATTCTGTATGGCAGGCACTATATATAACTCCTATGGGTTTGGCATTTCCCTATAAATATAATAATAATACTTTGTGTGGCATTGTTGATTATTATTGTAATCACAGGGAAGCACTAAACCCACATGGGATTATGCAGCATGTTATGTATACCAGCATACAGTAGCTGATCTGAGGTAATTGTATACATTACAATTTTCATACATACCTTTTTTGTTAAATAAATCACTGTTATGACATCTGATGTTCATCTGGCTGGTATTCTAATTAGGAAGTCAATGGGTTGTTTGTATTTTGATAAAATAAGGTTTACTTGCTAATATTTACAGTAAATATACCCGATAAACTATATGTATATTGTATTAAATAAATTGTATTATATAAATTGTATTATATAAATTATAAGTTGAATTAAAGTAATAATAAATTATAATCATAGTACTCCTGCCCTGGGTGGCAAAGGGGTGCTGTATATGCCCCTTTCCCTACACCTCCATCAGTAGGTAGCAGGGTAGTGATGTGTCTGGACAGTCAGTGTTGAAATGAAGTGAGTAACCCAAACCCTACCCTCTCATTTGTACCAGTTGGTGACATTTTGATTGAGGTCGACCTCTTCTCCATTGTGTTGACTGAGTTCCAAAACACTGTTTAGGATTCTTATTAATTTTGATGTCAGGATTAACCCTTAAACTGTCCAAACGTAGATCTGTGTTCACTCGCGTAGCACTCTGAACGTAGATCTACGTTTTATTTTACATTTGAAGGCACGTAAAATAAAACGTAAATCTACGTTGGAAGCGCTACACGAGTGAACGTAGATCTACGTTTGGACAGTTTAAGGGTTAAGATAGCCATTCATTAGTGTTTTACAGTATTATTAAAATAGATATTGATTACTGTCATTAGTCCTAAACTTTTAAATTAACTGGCTTGAATAAAATTTTAATTAAAACTAATTGATTTTTATTTTACTGATGTTTGTATTGGTGTTTTCTATATCATACACCTATTAAGGTAAATAATACAACACCTCTTGCATTAGATAGCACTTGAGCAGTAGTGGGCAATCAGTATCCAAGGAATGGAGGGGTAGCTCTCATTCCTTGGATCAAGAGTCCTTTACCACAGTTGGCATTATTTAAATGTTTATACTACATTCAACACACATTTGCAAAACATATACGAGGTGTCGTGTGGCAAAAAAGAATAAACTCAAAATTCAAACCATGGAAAAAAACATAGTTGAAGTTTCACTTCAGTACTTACTCAGACTCGTCTCTTACCACTTATTCAGACTCATTTCTTAACACAAGACATAGTGGTGACTACACATTCCAACCGCAGTAGATTTAAGCATAAAATCTTGGTGGTCTGTTCATAAGGGTTAATTAAAAGAACCTTACTCCACTAAAACTCTAAATTTGATTATCTAAAATTGGAAAAGTTATTACACTGTACCTTGAACTATGGCATTATAACTTAAGATGGAATATTGACTGCAAATTCAGGTAATTCATGCTTTACTCATGATTTCCCAAGTTTTTCTTGACTAAGTAAAAAAAACAAAAAAAAAAGACAGACAGACAAATTACATGCACACGTAACAACTTAAATGAAAGCCATTGGCTTAATTATATCACATAAATGTTAAACCTAAAACCCAATCTAACTTTATTATTTTTTTAAATACACTACCTAACAGAATACTCCATACGACTGAATGTACAACAATGCATGCAACCATATGACCTGTCTTTGTAATACTCATTTGTGCTTTATAGTTATCTGTTTACAATAATGTATTATCACTGATTTCATCATTGCTTAGTTAATTTTAAGCCAGCCCGTAATGCTATGCATAGTATAAGTGGCTTTGGCATGCTGCTCTTATCTGTATTTTTTTTGTACCTCTGTACGTATGCTCAAATTGTAAATAAATAAATAAATAAATAAATAAATAAAATGTTTTCAAAATGTATCAATATTGTATTTAAAGCTATGGTATTCAAATGATACAGATAAAAGAATGTAAAGACATAATAAGGTTTATTAATAAATGTCACATTAATTTCCCATTATTAATGGAGAAAAAGAAAATATCTCCATACACCACTACAAAATGAAGCTTCTGGAGTACTTAATTAAGGTTAATGAAGCTTAATATTAACATCCTGCAGCAAAAATCTGTACCATGGCAGAATTAGTGGATGTACGCAGTGTGGTAAAGTAGAAAGAGGGGAGCATCGTGTATCATGCCTGTGATGGGCCAAGTCATGGGCAGTGGCCAGAACAGTGCCAAACCCCAGCCCATAGATACATTCTCTGCTGCTGCTCAGGACAAAACATGAGGAGAGATTGGAGCAATGAAGCTTAAGTTAATATATTTTGTTACGGGCTTTAAGACTAACTTACAGAAGACAGTATCTACACTTTCCCACAGATGAAACATTAAGCAATTACTTCACTCGATAACCCAGATTTTGACCTTTGGGGCATTTATTCTTTTTTCTGCCTTGCAATGCCTTACATACTGTACCTCCCCATGATGAAGATTTTTATTACAAAACATAATAAATTGTTCAAAAACTTCCATTATATTAGTATATGTATGCAGTGCCATTATTCAGAGCTGCATTATGAAATTTATACCATAAATAAATTTAAACAAGAAAACATGCTGGAGGAATATCTTTTATTTTGTAGTGTCCACCACTGAGTACGTATTTAACATTTAATCTACATTATCATAATTATGATTCTCACTCCTAACATTTCAGTATTTTCAATTTTTTTTATCATTGTTGCATTTCGCCTATTATTATTAGACAAACCTTTGTTATTCATATACTGATTATGTGCAAAATTCGATAGTGTAATTACATACCACAGTGTGTATTTGTAAATTTTAAGCATCAGTATTTTACATGACCCATCTGTACAGTAATTATGGTTTAACGATAAATCCACTTCCATATACTGTATGTACCTTTTTTCCCTTTTGCATAATTACCCTCAACTATTCTTTACTATAAGTACACCTACCATCCGACTTACGACTGAGTTCGGTTCCGAGAAACCGGTCATAAGTCGAAATGGTCGTAAGTCGAACTTTACTACTGAATATCAACAAAACATTTTTGTAATGACTTTATTTTATTGTTTTATTTTGGTATTTCATGTTTTACTTTACTTTTTATGTTGTTAGTACTGTATTTTATACTGTAAGGTTTAGGATAAACACTGTGTACAACACAAATAGTTGTCTATTTCCCAGAAATTTGGCATAAAAAACACGGTCATAAGTCGAGTGGTCGTAAGTCGAGCAGGTCGTAAGTCGGATGGTAGGTGTATACCCATTCTTCCTTTAGCCTTTAACTATCCCATCTTCATCCTTGCTTTGTTTTCATTATAATTACGGCCTCTCCTCACTTAGCGATGTACTCGCTTACTGACTACTTGAACTTATGACGGGCTCTCTGACCAGTATGCATACCTAAATAATGCATATTAGAGCTGATTTCCTCTATTCTTTTTATTACAATATGCAGTAGATTGATGTATAAACATTTAAAAATACGTGCACCAGAAATGTTATAAATGGTGCAAAGGTGATATTAAAACAATATCAAAGATGGTTGACACAAACCCACTACCATTATAGTATGCTCCTCACTTAGTGACGAATTTGTTTACCGATGTGGTCTTAGGAACGGAACTTTGTCGTTAACCCTTTCACTGTCGAGAGCTCTGATCCTGAAGTCCCACTCTGTCGAAAAATATTAAAAAAAAAAAAATTTTTTTTTACCAAAATCCTAAAAATATTTTTCTGATTGTTTTAAAAGAAAAAAAATTTTGCGATCACTACTTACCGAAATATAGAGGCATGAAGTTGACAAAGTGAACCACTTATAGCAACATCACCGACTGCTGCTCACTCGGTAATATGATTTCTACTATTCTATTTTTCTTTTCGTTTCTAATATTTCATTTTTTCAAGTAACTTTTGAGGCCTGTGAGACCAATATAATGCATAATAAATATATATATACACGTATGTACAGTGGACCCCCGCATAACGATTACCTCCGAATGCGACCAATTATGTAAGTGTATTTATGTAAGTGCGTTTGTACGTGTATGTTTGGGGGTCTGAAATGGACTAATCTACTTCACAATATTTCTTATGGGAACAAATTCGGTCAGTACTGGCACCTGAACATACTTCTGGAGTGAAAAAATATCATTAACCGGGGGTCCACTGTATATATATATAGTGGACCCCCGCCTTACGAACGCATCGTCTTATGTTAAATCCGCCATACGAAGCATTTGAACGCAAAAATTTTGCCTCGCCTCATGATAAAAATCTCGCCGTATGTGATTCGTCTGGGACGCGTCCCATATGTGGCCTCAGTGCCAGTGTTTAAAAGCCAGCCAGTGCGGTTGCATCTACGCATGCATTCGGTACATTTCACATTATCCCAGTGTTTTTAGTGCTTGTAACTGCAAAATAAGTCACCATGGACCCCAAGAAAGCTTTTAGTGCCATCCCTGTGGATGAAAATCACCCTGATACAGCTACTGCAAGCCGTGTTGGCAACCTGTACAATGACAATGTTATGGCCCATTTTAGGAAAGTCTTAAAGGAGTGGGAGGTACAGAACTCTATGGACAGATTTGTTGTGTGACAGAGGTCCAGTGACTCTCAAGCTGGTCCTGGCGGCATTAAAAGAAGAAGGGAAGTAACCCCGGAAAAGGACTTGATACCTTAAGTCCTAATGGAAGGGGATTCCCCTTCTAAACAATAACAACTTCCACACTCTCCCCTCCTCCCATCCCATCAATCATCACCAGATCTTCAATAAAGATAAGTGTCATGTATTCTATTCTTAGTAGAGTAGTAATTGTGCATGTCTTCTTCAGTTTGTGTGTATTAAAATTAATATTTCATGTGGTAAATTTTTTTTTTCATACTTTGGGGTGTCTTGCACGGATTAATTTGATTTCCATTATTTCTTATGGGGAAAATTAATTCGCCTTACGATAATTTCGGCTTACGATGAGCTCTCAGGAACGAATTAATATCGTAAGGCAGGGGGTCCACTGTATATATACAGTGGACCCCCGCCTTACGATATTATTTCATTCCAGTGGTCTGTTCGGATGCCGTTATAGACCGAATTTGTTCCCATAAGGAATATTGTGAATTAGATTAGTCCGTGTCAGACCACGAAAAATACACGTACAAAAGCACTTACAAAAATACACTTACATAATTGGTCGAGTTGTGAGCTGATCGTAAGGCAGGGGTCCAATGTATATATATATATATATATATATATATATATATATATATATATATATATATATATATATATATATATTTACACCTACCATCCGACTTACGACCTGCTCGACATACGACCACTCAACTTACGACCATGTTTTTATGCCAAATTTCTGGAATATAAACAACTATTTGTGTTGTACACAGTGCTTTTCCTTAACCTTACGGTACGAAATACAGTACAAACAGCATAAAAAGTAAAGTAAAAAATGAAATACCAAAATAAAACAACAAAATAAAGTCATTACAAAAATGTGATGTTGATATTCAGTAGTAAGGTTTGACTTACATCCATTTTGACTTATGACCGGTTGGTCGGAGCCAAGCTTGGTCATAAGTCAGATAGTATCTGTATATATGTGTGTATATATATATATATATATATATATATATATATATATATATATATATATATATATATATATATATATATATATATATATATATATATATATATATACAGTGGAACCTCAAAATTCGAACTGCTCCCAACACAACCAATTATGTAAGTGTATTTTTGTAAGTGCTTTTATAAGTGTATTTTTGAGGGTCTGAAATGGACTAATCTAATTTACATTATTCCTGATGGGAATAAATTCATTCAGTAAA